ACATGTAGACACTGGCCTATCCCCACTTACTGCAAATAACTTACTGCACAGTAAATTTAATCCAGCATAAATGCATGTGTAGACATACCCATTGTTTAATAAAGGAAGGCACTAGCACTCATGGCAAGTTATGCTTTACACTGTGCTCAGGCCATTCATTAACAAGGCAAAGCCCAGCAGCAAGCTTCTAATGATAACAAGTTAGAATGATGAGACACAGTGGAACAGAACAGAATGTAATTGCAGACGGACACAACTCGGTGTAATGCTGAACCAGCAGGAAGCAACCATCCTCTTTCCTCTTGGCTGGCCCCATTGCAGACTCAAGAGCAGTCAGTCACCCCTGTTGCTAGATCCACAATACCTTGTGTGGTTCCAGGTGAAGGAAGGTCTTTTGTACTCGACGTGGATTTGTTTGCTGGAGCCGTTTCTAGTATTTTTAGTTGTATTTATATTTTAGTATTCAGAACATAGACACTGTCTACCATTGGTGTGCTTCCTGTGGCATGGCAAAAAGGAGACTATGTGCTCCTCTGTGAAGGAAGAAGGGAGGTTGGCAGAGAAGAAAGTGGTTTTTTTGGAGAGACTACACTACAGTATAGGAGGGGGGATCTTTCACTGGGCATACCAGACTCAGTGCAGTTAATGTGGGGATTCTCCTTAGACCTTAGCCTGTGCGCCCCCCCAAAATGTTTCTGGTGTTTCTGATCTCACTTGTGGTGGGGAGTACCCCTTTGCTTATAGTGAGTTCTCAATCCTGTGTCTTGCCTTGGGATGTAAACCCCTCCTTCCTGCCTTTGGAGAGACAATGAGTCACTCAGGACATCTTGCCAACACTGTTGACAGAAACAGCCACTCCCAAAACCAACATCAGCGTATCCAGCACAGATCGGGGGATCCCCTTCCCTGACTCTTCCTCACATTCTTTGAAGGCAGGCTCATGGGACCATCCACTCAAGCCACTTCCCAGACCTCTCCCCCCAGCCTAGGATGGACTATGCTGGCTATGTCCCTGCAGCAACCACTAACCATGCATCATTCCCACCACCATGCGGTCCTTGTTTTTTTCAGGGAGCCTTGCCAGTGGAAGCTGGGGAGGATCTGACATACCTGATTTGTCTGAGAGAGCCTTTGTCACCTCTGTGAGGTCATCCTGGGAACAGGAATGTATTGTGCTATTGCAGCATTCTGAGGAAATGTTCTGGTGGTAAGGTGCCACATTCTCAGAAGGAATTCCCTGTCTTTCCCACTATCTGTGTGTGCAGACATGGTTATGCTTATCCCAGTTGCATGCTGCCCTGCATGTGCACACTGCTGGCTCATATTGGATGAATGTGGGAGTAGCTGCTCTGCTTTCAAACCACGCTGGCAGGGAAATGCACTAGCCACACAGAAATCAGAAGGGGCATGGAATGCTAGGCCTCTTTTGGAGTCTGCATGAGGGACCCAGGCCCCATCATTTGCTCTCTGCCCAGGTGCAGGGGCTCTCACTGAGACCTTGATCATCAGGGCTCAGTTAGCACATGCCAAAGGATCCTTGGAAGGTCTAAGACCAATAAAGAGCAGGACTCCAAGGAGAGACTCTAGTCTAGTGTATAGAGCAGAGCTTTAGAGGGGCCATTTCCCTGGCGCTGATCCTGTGCCTGAGTCAGAAGGAGAAAGCAAAGGTGTCTTCTGTCTGGCTGGGTTTGAGAGAGACCCCAAAGAAATGTAATTTATATCAATGATTTTTCTGGGGCCAAGGAAAGATCAGGTGTAAAAGGGAGGGGGCAGCAGGTCACTGAGTCACAGGGCATGGGGAAAACAGTGCTGGGCTCTTCAAGGGATGACTGTGATGACTAAGGGCCACATGCAGTCACCAGCATGATGACCGTGTAATAGGATTGGGCCCTAGTTTGTGACAAAAACATGAGAACTATGCCGTCATCTCAAAACCTTTATTATATCTATGAGATATTTAAAAGGGGCAGTGTTTGATCTGGTGAGATTTGTGGTAGGAGCAGAGGTGTGCTATGTGGGCTGGATGCCAAGCATGGACTTGTCCAGCGTGTTCAGGGTTTTAGTGGGGAGCACTCCTGTCTGATTGTGTTTGTTTATGTTAGGTCAGTTCCAGCTCTAATTGCAGAAAAATCTGAATCTCATCCATCTCAAAAAAAAACCATAAAC